TAGTATATAATCACTTATTCAGTAATCCATGCACAAAGGGCCCTTTGTTTTTCCCACGGAAAGTGGTATCCACCTTGATTCATTTTGGACATTTAGATCTCAGAGGATCTTAGGAATAGAACCATTGGGCTATATCAGATTGCCATCTAAACTCTTTTGCAAGGGAGGTGATGCTCCAGAGAGACAATGATAGCACAATAAGACTTTAATAATAATAATAATAATAATAATAATAAAAATAAAAATAATAATAATAAGGAATGTGACATCATCAGCAAGGCCTCTTGAACCATGAAAGCCCTCCACTGACATGGGGTGCTTGCAAAAAGGGGGGCAGTGGGACTCCCTGCTCCATGTTTTTGGGGTTGGGTGCATAATAAAATTTAATTTATAACGATATTTAAAAGAGTTGGAGTGGAGATCTGCGTTCCCATCAAAAGACCCACACAGGAGAGAAGCCTGTGGGACTCTCCCTGCTCTACGATTTTGGGGTCAGGGCCTCTCTTTGCATCACCATCACCAGAGCTCCAAAACACGTATCAATGATGTACCGAGCATGAAAACATGGATGGGGCACCAGCCTGTCCATGGCTTAATTTCCCTTTCATTGTGTGCCTCGCTTTCTCTTCGGTCCCCCTCTGAAGTTCTGACTGTTTCTTTTTTTGGGGAAGAGTTACAGTTCGTCTTTCCCCAAAGCAGTGCTCTTCCCGGCGTCTTCAAGGCCCGGCGTCCGCTCCGGGGGCAGCTCCGTCTCCGCCGTATGGAACAGCATCCGTACCAAATCGTCTGCCTGGACCCTCTCCTGCAGCGGGTTCAAAAGTTGGAGAAGCGTCCTGGGTAACGTGCATGAAAACCTGGAAATCTTAGCATTATCCTACCTTTCTACCCAAATCGGGATAATAATAATAATAATAATAATAATAATAATAATAATAATAATAATAATACATTATTATTATTATTATTATTATTATTATTATTATTATTATTGCCCTTGCTTGGCTCTAATAATAATAATAATAATAATATAATCTATACACATTATAAAACTAAAAATATGTATGTGAGTATGTGGCTGGGGTGCCCACTTTCACAGGCTCCCATTTCCACAAACAGCTATGATCACCACCTGTGAGGACCCAACAAAGGCCCTCCCTCCAATAACATTGCAGGTTATAGTGAGCGCCGCGAACATGTATAACCCCCGCCAGTGCCCTCCACAAACACCATACTGCCCATCACCCAAGTGAAGGCTTTCATTTGGGGACAATTCCATCCTAGATTTTATGTGTGTGACATCCCAGTGTTCCTTACTCTCTCCATTGGTGTGGAATTTGCATAATCTCACCCGCTGCCTCTTCCATAACCCTTTCCGACTCTTTTCTATGTTGCACAACAAACAGAGCAGAATTGATCAGCAACTGAACATACTGGTCAACATGAGTCAGACCCCCCAGTAAAGTTGTAGTTCACCCTGCATCAAGAGATGACCTCCACCATCAATGGACCTGGATACAGAACCCCCATGGCCAACGAAAAATACTGGAAAGGTTTTTTTTTTTGGGGGGGGGGGGRTTTATAGAAGTTGTAGCTCACTTGCATCCAGAGAGCATTGTGAACCCAAAGGAAGATGCAACTGGACCAAACTTGGCACACAGACCTGATATGCCCAAATATGAATACTGGTGGGGGGGATTGCCCTTGACATTTGGATTGCCCTTGACATGTCCCTCCCCCCACTGACAATTTCATCCTAGATGTTCTCCACATCCCAGGGTTCCTTTCTCTCTCCATTGCTGTGGGTTTTGCATGACCCTGCCCACTGCCTCTTCCTTAACCCTTTCCTACCCATTCCTATGGCMCACAACAAACAAATGACTTGATCAGCAACTGAAAAAAGGTTTGTGGAGATTTACAGGAGTTGTTCTTGACCTACATTCAGAGAGCACTGTTAACCTAAGCAACGATGGATCTGGGCCAAACTTGCCAAGGATTTGTGATACTGTGACCMCCCCCCCCCCCCCGACAATAGACCAAACATGGCACAGAGGAGTGCCATGACCAACTGAACATACTGCAGGGGGTTTGCAGGAATTGACATTGATTTTGGGAGTTGTAGTTCATCTGCATCCAGAAAGCACTGAGCCCAGCCAACGTCAGATCTGGGCTAAACTTTGCACAGAGATGCAACATGGACAACTGTGCATACAGGTCTGGTTTGGGAGTGATTGACCTTGGATCTGTAGTTCATCCTTATCCACAGAGCCCTGAATCCAGGTGATGACGGATCTGGACCAAACTTGTCACACAGACCCAACATGTCCAACTGTGAGTACTGTCAGGGTTGCGGGTGATTGCCCTGGAAATCTGGGAATTGTAATTCATTCTTATCCAGAGAGCACTGAACCCAGCCAGCAATGGATCTGGACCAATGACTTCTTCTAATTACCCGGGCACCACCGGATCCTCAAGCTAGATGATAATAATAATAATAATAATAATAATAATAATAATAATAATAATATAACCATTGGAGCTGATTTCCACTTTATCCTGCAGTTCCAACCCTTGTGTTCCCCTTAAAGTAAAGGTAAAGGTTTTCCCCTGACATGAAGTCCAGTCGTGTCTGACTCTGGGATGTGGTGCTCATCTCCATTTCTAAGCCGAAGAGCTGGCGTTGTCCGTAGACACCTCCAAGGTCATGTGGCTGGCATGACTGCATGGAGAGCTATTACCTTCCTATTGTATTTTTCAAACTGCTAGGTTGGCAGAAGCTGGGGCTGACAGCGGAAGCTCACACCACTCCTGGATTCAAATCTGTGACCTTTCGGTCAACAAACTCAGCAGCTCAGTGCTTTAACCCACTGCACCACCAGGGGCTCCCCCTTACTGTGTATTAATATTATCTGCTATTACTAATAATAATAATTAATAATAAATTTAATTTGTTACCTGCCTCTCCTCAAGGTGGGGCACAACACAGTTAAAATAAACAGACCAAAACAACAGACCTATATTAATTAAAGTGATGCCAAACTCCATTAATTCTGCAGTGTAGATGCAACCTAAGTAGTGAGTTCAGATATTATGTATTTATAGGAAGTTTTCCCCTTACTTTGTTTTGTGGGTGCATGTTGATTGCTGGCCATTGGAAAACAGCAAATATCTTTGTCTGCTTCAAGACCTAACAAAGAGACTGCTTCTCTGGGCCGAAAGGGCAAAACATTTTCCCACTGCAGATCATAAAACCCAATTGCGTCCAGAAGATAATTGCCAACTTGTACAGGTAAGACAGGAACAAAGCAGCTACTGTCGGTACTTAGTACTTAAAGGGGTGACGGAGGTTGCTGTTTGAGCCACAAAGGCGTATTGTTGCTCAACAGATAATTTACACACTTACCCGTTCACTATGGCGGGGGTCCAGGGTGAACCACAGTGCAATCGCACAGCGCTGGCCCTTGGTGACCGCTCTCACACCGTGCGGGTTTTCGGCACCCGAGGAAAAGCCCACCGCTCGGCCACACTGGGGCTGGACCTCGGCCTAGAGGAAAAACGCAAGAAAAGCAGGTCAAGGAAGCTCCAACGTGAGCCAAGAGTGAGTCGCCGGGCACGGCTGATAAATGCGGTATACAAATAGCGTAAATAAATAAATAAATAAATAAATGCGGCAGCAAAAAAGGCCAATGCCATTCGAAGCTCTGTCAAGAGGAATATCGTGCCTAAGGTACCCATCTATATACACAGAATAAAAGTGAAAATATGTATCTATCTCTGTGGCGAGAATGTCCACACACAGACAAGCCACCGCCTCCACGAACAGCTAAATCTCCCACTACTCAGGAGGCACCAATGGCCCTCCCTCCGTAAACATATAAAAGAGTCCTGCCAATGTCTTCCATAAACCCCATAATGCCCACCACCCTTGTGAAGGCTTTCACACAGGGACCATTTCATCCTAGATTTTATGTGTTTCCTCCACCACAGACATCCCAGTGTTTCTGACTCTCTCCATTGGTGTGGACTTTGCATGACCCTACCCACTGCCTCTCCCTTAACCCTTTCCTGGAGCCCCCAGTGGCGCAGTGGGTTAAACCCCTGTGCCGGCAGGACTGAAGACCGACAGGTCACAGGTTTGAATCCGGGGAGAGACGGGTGAGCTCCCTCTATCAGCCCCAGCTCCTCATGCGGGGACATGAGAGAAGCCTCCCATAAGGATGATAAAACATCAAAAAATGATCCAGGCGTCCCCTGGGCAACGTCCTTGCAGACGGCCAATTCTCCAACACCAGAAGCGACTTGCAGTTTCTCAAGTCACCCCTGACATGACAAAAAAAAACCCCTTTCCTACTCTTTTCTACAGCACATAGCAAACAGAGATGAACTGATCGGAAACTGAACATACTAGAGAGGTTTGGGGAGAATTCCCCATGATTTATAGGAGTTGTAGGAACTAGGATATATAGTCCACCTGCAATCTAAGAGCACTCTGAACTCCACTAACAATGGACCTGGAATTAACTTGGCACACAAAGCCCCATGACCAACAAAAATACTGGAGGGATTTATAGGTGTTGTTGTTCTCCTGCATCCAGAGTGCACTATAAAGCCAAACAATGATGGATCTGGGTCAAACTTAGCATGTATACCCAATATGCCCAAATTTGAATAAGGGTGGGTTTTAAGGGGAATTGGCCTGGGCATTTTGGAGTTGTAGGTACTAGGATGTACATTTCAACTGCAATCTAAGAGCACTTTGAACTCCACGAAAGATGGAATTGGACCAAACTTGGCACACAGAGCTCCCAAGGCCAGCAAAATATTCTGGAGGTCTTTGGGGAAAAATCACCTTCATTTGGGGGAGTTGTAGTTCACCTACATCCAGAGAGCACTGTAAACCCAAAAGCTGATGGATCTGGATCAAACTTGGCACACATACCTGGTCTACTGAAATTTGATTACTGGGGGAGTTTTGGGGGAAATGATCTTCCTTTCTGGGAGTTCACCCACAACTAGAGAAACAATGACCTCCCCCCGATGATGAACCTGGACCCAAATTTGACACACAGAACCTACTGGAGGGGTTTGAGGGGACTGACTCACCGTAGTGGTACCTAAGCCAGTAGTAGTAGTAGTATTAATCCACAAGTATGATGCAGCAGCTAAAAAGGCCAATGTGATTCTAGGCTGCATCTATAGGGAATATACTGTTTAAGGAAGTAATTATATATTAAGGGATCTAGGAGTCTTAGTAAACTATGAACAAGGTATTATTATTAATAATAATAATAATAATAATCATGAGCCAAGAGTGTCATGCAGCAGCAAAAAAGGCCAATGCCATTCTAGCCTAAATGAACAGGAATATAGCATCTAGAGAAGCCAGTATATTCTACAGTCCATGCGAAAGAAATCTAGGAATCTTAGACCACGAAAATGAGCCAAGAGGCTGCATTAAGAAGAGTCTTCTCTCAAGGGAAGTTATGATCCCTCTCTGTTCTGCTTTGTGATGAACAGAAAGGACCTAAACTCACCGTGACTGTTTCGGCATCCAGTTCAGTGAAGTAAAACGCGCCGCCTTCAAAGTCGCCATTCAAATAGAGGATGGCACTAGAATTAGATTTAGATTCTTATTTAATTAGGAGGTTCAAGTTCCCTTGAGGAGAGAAACCCGTTTTACCCATTTGGGTTCAATAAGTGGTTTGGAAGAGCGTGTTCTCACCTGTAATCCCGAAATGTGTAGGCCGGTGGCTCCTTGACGCACACCAAGGCCTCCGCATTGAGGATGCAGTTGTCCACATGGACGGGATGGCTAGGATCCACCCGGTCATCCTGTTTATCTGGGAGAGGAATACATAGATTTCATCCCAGTCAATAAATGTATATTTATTGTGCATAATATCACAAAGGATTACCACCTCACCCACTTCAGAGGAGATCTGCTACAAAACAGGAGCTTTTTTGTTGAGTTTCAGGGTCAGAGAAGCAGATGGTGGAAACAGTAGAATGGCCTGTCTCAGGGGAGGGCGCTTGCTCCATCCATGTTTAGCATTTACACAAATGACCAGCCATTGCCAGAAGGAACAGAGAGTTTCATCTATGCTGATGATTGTGCCATCACCACCCAAGCAGGAAGCTTTGAAATGGTTGAACAGAAGTTCTCCGAAGCTCTAGGTGCTCTTACTGCCTATTACAGGGAAAACCAGCTGATTCCATCTAAAATGCAGACGTGTGTTTTTCACCTTAAGAACAGACAAGCATCTCAAGCTCTGAGGACTATCTGGGAAGGAATCCCACTGGAGCATTGCAGCGTACCAAAACACCTGAGAGTCACTCTAGACCATGCTCTGATTTACAAGAAGCACTGCTTGACTATCAAGCAAAAAGTGGGTGCTGGAAATAATATCATACAAAAGCTGACCGGCACAACCTGGGGATCACAACCAGATACAGTGAAGACATCTGTCCTTGTGCTATGCTACTCTGCTGCTGAGTACGCATGCCCAGTGTGGAACACATCTCACCACACTAAAACAGTGCATGTGGCTCTTAATGAGACATGCCGCATTATCACAGGGTGTCTACGCCCTATACCACTGGAGAAATTGTACTGTTTAACCAGCATTGCACCACCTGACATCCGCCAGGAAGTAGCAGCCAGTAATGAAAGGACCAAGGCATTGACATCTCCGACCCATCCTCTGTTCGGATATCAGCCAGCATGCCAATGCCTGAAATCAAGAAATAGCTTCCTAAGATCTACAGAGATACTTGCAGGGACACCTCAGCAAGCAAGAGTCCAAAAGTGGCAGGCAAAAACCCAGAACCTCAATCAGTGCTTGAGGCCAGATGTCAGACTCCCCACTGTGGACACAGAAGCTGGCTGGGGTCTCTGGGACCTGAGTCCCAAATGCCTGGAGGCAGTGGCTGAGAATGGATGAGAGACTCCCTCCTTGGCACACAGAAGACTGGGTGACTTGGAAAGCACTGAGCAGACTGCGCTCTGGCACCACGACATGCAGAGACAACCTTAAGAAATGTGGCTACAAAGTGGAGTCCACCACATTCGAGTGTGGAGAACAGCAGACCTGTTGCAACTCAGGGCAGTTTTCACCTTGCTCCAGACAGCACCCCACCAAGGCTGTAGGTTTTTGTAGTTTATTGAAAAAAGCAAAATCAAAACAAAGAAATAAAAATGCAATAGTTCCATGGGCAAAACAGAGACTTAAATGTAAAGGCAAAGTTCCCAAGATCCAAAGGCAAAAACATGAAGCATAATCCCTTAGCAATGGTCAAACAAAAGTCCATGGTAAACAGTTGAAAACAAGACCCAAATCCCAGACTCAGGAAGCCAGAAGCGTGCTGCGAAAAGCCAAGGAAAATCCCTAGAAGTTAACATGGGAAGAGCAATGTTGGACTGACAACAACTGCCTGTCAGCTACAAGACTAGTAAATACCCTTTGTGAACATGAAAGCATTGCGTTGACCTTGGGCCCCTTTGGCTTCTCGCTTGCTGGCCAAGCGAGTACTTCTCTGAAGCCTTAATTGCAAATAATCTTGTCTGCTCATTAATTCATTATCTGCAAGGCTATGCAACCCCTTATCTGGGTCCAGCTGGGACGGATCCTCCACCTGGCCGTGTGGGATTTCACTCTCGCTATCAGTCTCTCTAACTGCAGGAACATTCCTTTCCCCAGGGAACTGACTTGTTGTTTCTCCTTCAGCCTCATCTGAACCAAGTACAGGAATCTGTAAACCATCAGCTTCCTCGTCATCCTGCAGGAAATCAGGCTAAGACGGCACAAACAGCTCAGCTTCAGACTCAGAGTCAAGGTGAGTACAACAAGACCATAGTCCACTTACTACAATGCATTCTGAGCCCTGCCACATGCACAATGGAAGTCCTTCTCACAGCAACACCACAGGCACTCCAAGTGGCCAGCTTCTAGTCAAAGGACATTTAGTATCATACCAAGTTTTTAATCTTTGTTTGTCTTTTTAAATACATTACAACTGTACTCCCAATTTGCTTCCGACATGATAAATAACATTTTATAGAACTACACTTCTAATATGCATGTTCATTGAATTTTTGTTTTGTGTGTTTTGACTGTGTTATGACAAATCGGCAGGTAAGAAATAAAATTATTATTATTATCCGCAAAGAAGGAGAATCTATGACCATTTTACATTACTGGGAAGCAGTAGTTGTTGTAGTAGTAGTAGTAGTAGTAGTAGTAGTAGTAGTAGTAGCAGCAGTAACATTCCTTCCCCCCCCCACTTGAACCTATTGGGACTACCCCAAAGAAACCCCCCAGGTGGCACAGAGGATGCCAAAGGCTTACCTTCAATCGCTGTGCGGCACACCAAGTGGGAATAGGAGAAATACAGAGGGACGTCCAGCCGGAAGTAGGACTCCATCACGCGCCGGACCTTCTCCGTGGCATTGTAGTAGAGGTAGGCGCTACCCATGGGCACTGTACCCTCCTGCCCCAGCTGCGAAGGCAAGAAACCGGTGAAGGAGACTTTCCCAGATCCATCCTTCTCCGAGGAAGGACCCAACTCGTCCCCATCTCTCCCTGTGTTTCCGAAAGGCTCACCTTCAGTGCTTTGTAGACGGTGACGCCATAAAAGGTCTCACTGGGAGTGTGGGGTGACGTTTTCCCTCGATAGCCATCTCCAGCTGAAGCAGCCGCCTCAGAAGTCAAAAGAGGGAGAGAACGGGGTATAACTTTGCACAACGGAGCCTAGCTTCCTAGAGTTAGAATTCCAAAACATTCCTGAATCCTAAGTTTGTAGGATTCCTAGAGTGAGACCTCAAGTGCCATCCAGTCCAAACCCCCTTTTTTTCTGCCAGGCAGGAAGACACCATCAAAGCACCCCCGACAGATGGCCATCCAGTCTCTGCTTTGGGGAAGAAGACTCCGATAGACTCCAAGACATAATATTTCACTGCCGAACAGCTCTTGCCATTTCTCTTTTCCTGCCATTTGAACGCATGGCTCCATTGTGTCCTCGCTTCCAGAGCAGCAGGAAAACAAGCTCACCCTCTCAATATCCCAACTCAATGATTCTATCATTCTTTTTCCGGAGCTTTTTAAGAGGCCGGATGGCCATCTATCTGGAGGGCTTGGATTGTGTCTTCCTAAATGGCAGACAGGAGGGCTGAACTGGATAGCCCTTGAGATCTCTTAAAACTCTAGGATTCTATGACACATATATCATAGTATATAATAATAACAACAATAACTATTTATATTCTGTTCTGTTCTCCCTAAGGGGACTCAGAGAGGATTACAGCATATAAAGAGACACAAGCAAACATTCAATTCCTTGTTACAGTAAAATACAATAAGACACACATACACAGACAAAGGCAAAGGCTTCTCCTTTCATTTCCGGCTCTAGAGGCCATGCTCATCTCCGGATCACTTCCATTTCCAAGCCGAGGAGCCTGCGTTGTCCATAGACACCTCCTGATCGTGTGGCCATTATGACTACATGGACCTTTTTTGCCTTTCCTGTCAAGGCTAGACCTATTGATCTACTAATGTTTTCGAACTGCTAGGTTGGAAGGAGCTAGGGCTAACCGCGGGAGCTCACCCCAACCCGCAGATATTAACTTCCGGTCAGCAGTTCAGCAGCACAAGGGTTTAACCCATTGTGTCACCATGGCCCCAGTCTGTCTATCAAATCTATGTTTGTATGGCCATCTCTTGGGAGGGCTTTGATGGTGCCTTTCTGCTTAGCAAACGGGGATAAACTGGATAGCCCTTGGGTTCTCTTCAAACTCTAGGATTGTATGAATCCTAAACCACCCTGAGTCCCCTGAGGAGAGAGGACAGTTTATATTATTATATGATAGCTATAGTGCATCTACGACTCTGAGTCCTCAGATTCATCTCCAACCATTACAAAGGTGGTGAGATTGCAATGGGATCAATAGGAGAGCCACGGCAAACTCATGGGATCAGCGGAAGCCACAGCACAAGGACTGGCAGGATGGGACTCACATTGGTTAGCCTCTGCAGAGCCCGGCACTCTTCCTCGGACAAGACGCCGTCCACCACCACGCGCTGGGAGCCGTTGAGCACCTTAGAGTTCATGGCGACATGGAGGCCATCGTACAGCAAAGGTCCTCCTGCGGCAGGGAAGAAACACCAAGGAGTTGTGCTGCCCAGTGCCCAAGGCAGACCTTTTGAGACCTGAAAAGGCAAGCTTCTCACCTTCCCGCACCATCCTGTTCATGTCCGAGGACTCCTTCGTCTTCTCTTCCACCAGCGTCTCGATCTCCTTCATGAGGTTGCCGATCTCCTCCGAGATGCGGGCTGCTGTTTCGCGCTCCACCCTGGCAACGGAGACCAAAACGAAAGGAAAACATCTCAGATAAAGCCAAGTTCGCACCTCCGCAACTCAGTGTAGAAATGAAAAGGCATCGCTTTTGATGCCTGTGCCAAGGCACAAACATAGCGGCTTAGAGTAGAGTGCAAAAAAGCAGCATGCAAGTCAGTGAAGAATGAAGCTGAAGCTTGGAGAAACTCCTGTGACAAATGGATTAGGCTGACATTTGAGAGGCTTGGGGTGCATCCATTAATATGTTCTAATGCTGCGGGGGGTTCATTCATTACAATCCCAGAGTTGGAAGAGACCCCAAGGGCCATGCAGTCCAACCCTTTAAGACAGATCTAGATGGAGTAACTATTATACTATTAACCATTATTGTAAATAATAATAATAATAATAATAATAATAATAATAATAATAATGTTGGAAGAGACCCCAAAGGCCATCCAGTTCAAGCCCCTTCTGCCAGGAAGGAAGACACAATTCGATCCTTCCCGACTGTTGTATATCAGCCTGTTCAGCCTGTGATTGCATCTGATGTTCATGTTGATATTCATGATGAGAATGGGGATGATGTTCATGTTGATGCTCATGAAGGGAATGGAGATGTTGATCTGGTTCCTGCGCCTGGGTCTGTGGGATTTGGGGATGAAGGGTCGCTTGGGACTGAATGAGGTGCTGCAAGATGATTCTCAAGGTCCAGGGCTTAGGAAAGGCCTTTCGCCATGGTTACCTGAGCAGATATTTGAGAATGAAGCTGATTTTGATGTACCAGATGCAGGAGTTAATGATGAGAACGAGACTTTGAACAGGAAAAGAAGTTTTAGTAAACAGAGGCAGTTCAGACAGCAATTAAGACGCTCAACTCGGATTCAACAGTAGATAGATAATAAATCAAAACTAAGAAAGAATGTGTTCCTAACAGTTTTGGAGTCAGGGAAGAGTTTATAATAATTTGTGAGAGACCATTGCTCACTAATGCTTCCTCTTCATCTTGGAAAGAAGTGACAAGTGGAGTGCCTCAGGGTTCCGTCCTGGGCCCGGTCCTGTTCAACATCTTTATTAATGACTTAGATGAAGGGCTAGAAGGCAGGATCATCAAGTTTGCAGACGGACCAAATTGGGAGGGAGAGCCAATACTCCAGAGGACAGGAGCAGGATTCAAAATGATCTTGACAGATTAGAGAATGGGCCAAAACTAACAAAATGAAGTTCAACAGGGACAAATGCAAGATACTCCACTTAGGCAGAAAAAAATGAAATGCAAAGATACAGAATGGGGGACAATGCCTGGCTCGAGAGCAGTACATGTGTGTGAAAAAGATATTGGAGTCCTCGTGGACAGGAAGTTAAATATGAGCCAACAATGTGATGTGGTGGCAAAAAAAGCCTGCATCAGTAGGAGCATAGTGTCTAGATCTAGGGAAGTAATGCTACCCCTCTATTTCGCCTTGGTTAGACCACACCTGGAATATTGTGTCCAATTCTGGGCACCACAATTCAAGAGAGATATTGACAAGCTGGAATGTGTCCAGAGGAGGGCGACTAAAATGATCAAGGGTCTGGAGAACAAGCCCTATGAGGAGCGGCTTAAGGACTGGGCATGTTTAGCCTGAAGAAGAGAAGGCTGAGAGGAGACATGATAGCCATGTATAAATATGTGAGAGGAAGCCATAGGGAGGAGGGAGCAAGCTTGTTTTCTGCTTCCTGGAGACTAGGACGCGGAACAATGGCTTCAAACTACAGGAAAGGAGATTCCACCTGAACATGAGGAAGAACTTCCTGACTGTGAGAGCCGTTCAGCAGTGGAACTCTCTGCCCTGGAGTGTGGTGGAGGCTCCTTCTTTGAGCTTTTAAACAGAGGCTGGATGGCCATCTGTCAGGGGTGATTTGAATGCAATATTCCTGCTTCTTGGCAGGGGGTTGGACTGGATGGCCCATGAGGTCTCTTCCAACTCTTTGATTCTATGATTCTATGATTCTAATTGAGGCAACATCGCAATAATGCCAAGTTTCATGCACCAAGGACTGCCTAACTCATGTTTTGCCTATGGGATATGCTTTCTGTATTGTTCATGGATTCAAGTGCTGAGTTTCTTGGATTTTCTTTGACTCTTTGTTCCTGTCTTCCAAATTGGTGGTTTTTTTTGTTTTTTTTT